TGTATATAATTGGCAAAATTATTGCTTATTTTTCCTCTTCCTTTCATATTATATCTTTCTCACTTAAACGAGCAATTTATGCGATTACTGTCCCCTATCCACTTTAGTCTCTCTCTATCGCCCTTTAGAGATTACTATGGAAACGAGATCTAAGGCACTTTATTCCCGTGTCTACGTATAACAGAGAGAATTGAATTCATCGAAATTATACCGGTTTCAATTCCCGTACAGACTTTAACGAAGCGACAAGTTTCGAACGGAAGTACGAAGAGCACAGTTTTCAATCGATTCGTCGAACATGCATTGCTACATGTTGCTAGCTATGCTCGTTGTAAATCTCAACGCGAGATTCGCCTTGCATTTGCAGTATTGACGCGCGAATATCTTTGAAGTTTCTCCGAGAAGCGAAAAGCTCACCACGGCATAAATTAATGATGGAAATTAACGCCGAGATGCTGTTACTAATTTTTTTCTGTATGCAAAACGATTGTCGTTGTTACGTGTATGAGGAGATATTATGCAACGTCTGCATTTCGCAACAGAGAATAATAAAGAGGAAGATTCATTGCTGAGTTCCTCATTAAATATGACCGCGATAACATATTATACGTCCGTAAGAAGTATTAATGATTCCTAAGTCAGGTAAACCTCCTAACATATAGGCCTATTTCTCTTCTGTCGATAATACCTAGCTTTTTGAAAAATTATTGCTAAAACGACTAAAACCTCTAATGGAGGAAGGAGACGTGATCCATCTCAATATCAATTTGGCTTTAAAGGCAAATATTCAACGATTGACCAAGTTCATCAAATTACGAATGTTATTGAAAAAGCGTTAGAAAAAAAGAAAATATGTTCGAATGGATGTATTTCTGGATGTAGTTCAAGCTTCTGATAAAGTCTGGCATAAAAGATTAATCTACAAATTGCAACGTGATCTTCCACTCACGCACACGCACACGCACACACACGCACACATACATAACAATTCTGTCAACTACTAAAATCTTACCTAACAGGAAAATGCTTTCGAATTAAATATGAAAACGAATATCCTGAGTTAAAAGACATATCGGCTGGAATACCACATGGGAGCGTCCTGGGGTCGGTCCTCTACCTATTATACATCAGGGATATCCCTCAGAACAATAAAACGATAAAACTATAACCACCTTTACAGACGACACTACGATTATGGTGACTGGAAATACCATTAAAAAAACTACAGACAAACTTCAAAGTGCCATCAACAAGACCTGGACTAAAAAATGGAGGATAAAATTAAATGGAGGATAAAATTAAATGAATCAAAGTCGACGCACATAAATTTTACTAACAAAAAAATTATCCACGTAATGGCCGAGATCAACGCGCAAGTAATACCGTACGCAAACACGACTGAATACCTGGGCATGATGCTTGACACCAAGCTCAAATAAAAAGAGCATTTCAAAAAGAGAAAGGATGAAATAAACATTAAATTCAAAAAAATGTATTGGTTGCTCGGGAGAAATTCTGAATTAGATTTACATAATAAACTGCTACTCAATAAATAAATTCTGAAACCAATAGCCCATTCACACAATGTTTAATTCATGAGAGAGGAAATTACTAGATAGGCTGATAGTTGTAATAAAAAAAAATGTGACATTAAAACAAGAAAAGTTATTTGCAAAAGTTTCAATGGCCAGATTATAAGAATGTATATCCATTTTTCTTCTTTTTAAACGTCAGAAATTTCTGACGAAACAATTTCACAAGAATAACCCTTTGCATATTCTATTTTTAGGGGTGTAATAAGGAATGGATATTTTCGTTCTCTAATATTCGTAATTTTTAAAGCATATAATTTTGAAAAATGATGCTCTTTTTACTCCTTTGCCCTTTTCCTCTACCATACATTTTCGTAACCACCCATTTAATCCGCATATTTAAATACTAAATGGGGCTATTTAATTTCGAATTCTCTGTATTTAATATGAGAATTGCGTTTAATATTAGCGTGAGAAATGCGCCAAAGAAAGCATTTAACATCAAATTTTTAATGAATTTTTAACGAAACTACAAATTTAGAAATTTATTTAAAAAATATTCTCCTGTCTACAATTATAACATTTTCATTCGTCATCTTGAATATTCGAAGTAATGCCATCTCGGCGAGTAAATTACTTGGTTAATTAACTAAATATACCAATCAAAGGAGCATTTCCATTGAACCGATTACTCCGATTCGTAGTACAAATCTAACTCTAATTACATCGCGCCATATAAAGACGTCGAAGCGCGTACGTGGTTCCCATTCGCGAGAGCATCGCCTCTTAACTTCACATAAATGGTAAACGTAGTTATAAAGAAAAGCAATCCCCTTGACGATGCAAAAATTGCATTGCCCCGTCAAAGTCGAGATCACGATATCGTTGAGAAAGTTTATAACCAGTAGGCGTGCCGTTGACGGAAGAAATGCAGAGGCGTAAAGAGAGACGAGATACTTTTGCGATTTGAAATGCACTTTGATGAGGATCACGGACTACAAGAGCAAACGCGAAACGAAAAACAGAGAGTGATTAAATGTAGCAAGCAGAAAGGATGAGGCGTATTTTACGCGAGACACGTGACCAGGGACGGATTTTCTTCCATCTGCTAACATACGTTTTGATTATCTCTATTGTTGACTCAATTTCCTTTCTCTTCCCTGCATAAGATTTAGACTGCTTTTTTCTCCTTTCCTTTTCATTGCAGAACGTAATATCGCGATTCAATTACGTTCGATCTCCTTTTCAAATACGTGCGAACTATTATTAAAGTAAACTTTTCAAAGTGCTTTATTTAATAATATTTCAATAATATTTTATAGTCTTCTTTGTGTGCAAAAAAAAGAATATTATTAAAAATAAAAATATAAAAAATATAGATGCATAAAAAAACAATTGGAGAAGGGAATAGAAATAAGAGTGTGTATAGCAAACTATGTTTGCGATAATATATGTATGCATATTATATATTACATTCTAAAGTAAAAAACATATAATTTATAGAAACCATAAAAATGTAAATCACGCGCGATAAGAAAAAATCTATTTTATAAAGTTTTACCAGAAAAACACTTGACTATGATCGTTCGAATCGGATCGCACAAAACTATCGTCAGTTTATTACAGCCTTTTCCAGATCACGTATATTCAAGATTTCTAGATCATTTCTAAGGATAGCCGATTCTGCTTTCGTTACGAGGATGCAAACAATTGCTTTGATGGACGAAAAAGGACAATGTTAGAGAAGAATGTAGAGAAGAGAAGAAACAGAAATACACAAAGAGATAGAAGGAGGCTAGAATGGAAAATTGGATCAACGCAGGCGCAAGAGCTACCCCATTCCAGCGTACGAGGCGTCACGACGCCTTTTCGCTTCATTCGGCGTCCGGACGCCAACGTTTGCGTCGGTCACGCGACGTTCTTCTACCTGACGCAAAACAGCTGTGCCGTTCGCGATAAAATCGCGTGGAATGAAAAAAAATTATGTAAAAATCGGTGCGAAGGTACAATGATCATCGAGAATTAAAACATCCCGAGAAGAGATAAGCGCCAAGATATATTACGCCGATCTGAACTTAACACCCGATGTAATTTTAACCGCCGGCGTTTCCGCGATCAAGAACTCGTTTAAGTGATCAATTAGGGTGGGCGCGGTAATTCAATCTGTTCGCGGGCGAGAGAAGTGGAGAATCGAAAGCGTATGTTTGTGCGCCTCTTCGTTCGGATTGATGGTAATGCTCGTTTCGTGCTTGAGCAGTTAAAACGTTGTGCATAGGAAAGTGTTTCTATGACATTTGAGGATCCATCGCATTACACCGGGGTGCGGCAACCACGATTAATAGCTAAAGCGCCGCTCCTACACATGTCACTAGCCGCACGTGTCATATGACATTGTGATTCTGCACGCGACATGCAAAAAGTCGATTCGTCCGCAAAGTTGCGGTTTCACGGTTCCCTATGTACGATTAATCTTAGAAAAATAAGTTAATTTTATCGTCCTGTCAACTAATTAATAGCAATGTTATTTAATATTAACGTTAGATATTAAATTTTATTAAATTCGAAAGTAATTTAATTAAAAAAAGATTATTAAGATCTTTATTGTTATAAGAAAAAAATAAAAATGTAAAAACTTGTCGTATGAAGATATTATTGATGCACGTGACATCAATTTGTATATGTTAAATACTGAAATATTCCAAAATATAAGAGTTGAATCGTACGCTGATACTGAACGCTACGCTTTTTTGGAAACATCAGATTGTCACATGAAGGAAATACACAAGTTAAATATTTCAACGTTTTACCGCGCTCCTTTTGACAACGTAAAAGTTTCGCCAGAAACGTACCATGATCGTTTGAGTCAGATCAAGGGAGAGATACTTCAAATGTGTGGTAACTTTATCTTCTTCCCTATCCTATCGCATAGACGAAAACGAATCGTCTCAAAGTTATCGCGCGATTTTCAGTTCAAAAAATCCAGAAGAGTTATCATATTTCCTCGGCGCTTGAAGTCAGCGAACGACAAATCTTCTCTTCTGGTCGAAAGTAATCGATCGAAATTGTAAAGCGAATTGAAGATGCGGTGTACATTTTTATGAATAGACATTAAGATTTGATTATTCTCATCAAGTCACCGAAGAGAGACATCGGAATGACGAAAATGTCTTCCCGATCGCAATGAAATGTGCCAATACTTCCGTTTCTGAATTTCTAACATAACTGTTAAAAATTAGTGATATAATTAACATTGCTAAATGAAGAATGATCATTATCATAGATTACTAATATAATTAACTTTAATCTGATAATTGTCTTCGTTATAATATGACAGTGATAACTTCCAATATTAAAATATAAATATTGAGATATAAATCATTGACCGCGTCGCAACATAATTATCAATCCTTGATGTAATTTCACGTAATAGTGATTAGATTATCATTTTTTTTATAGAAGACACAACGGGACAAGTTGTCATACGGATGGTAATGATCCAGCCGAAAAGGAACAAAGCTCCGAGACTTGCGGAAAAGAAAGAGTTCGTTGATCTCTTCGCGCATTACGCTTTACGCTGTAAGGGCTTTGGCGCCCCCAAGACTACCTCACCTCCCAGGAATGAATTCCACCCAGAACTTCACGCCGACAGCTTCGGCGTTCACCGAGTACTGCGGTTCTGGATTCGAATCTTTTTACGATTGGTACTTACAGGTGCATGGATGGGCCAGTCTGTTGGTGTGTACATTCGGCTCGATCGCCAATGTCCTCAACATTGTTGTACTGACGCGTCGCGAGATGCAATCGCCCACCAACATGATCCTCACCGGTCTTGCCGTGGCCGATCTTTTTGTGATGATCGAATATATCCCCTATGCGATCCACATGTACATCTATAAACGGTCCCGTAAAGATATGTTCACCTACAGCTGGAGCGTCTTTGTATTATTCCACTCGCACTTCGGCCAGGTGTGTCACACAATCTCGATTTTCTTGACGGTGATCTTGGCAGTCTGGAGATACATAGCAGTAGCGCATCCACAGCGTAATCGTGAGTGGTGTAGCGACAAGCGCACCTTCCTGGTAATCGCTTGCGTCTATATATGCTGTCCAATACTCTGCATACCGCTTTACATCAACACCGAGATGACATCGCGAGTGGAGATGCTGGACGAGCAGGGGATAAGCGTAAATCTGACAAAGTTCCGGCAGACATCCAACGATACGATCATCTCTCTTGAGGGCGTAACCAACACCACACTGTACTTTGTAAGGCTCACCGAGACCCCGATGGGCAATGTTCTCAAGGACGTTAACTTCTGGATTTACAGCGTGGTAATTAAGCTGATACCGTGTGTGGCATTAACAGTGTTGAGTATCAAGCTGTTCAAGGTGTTGCTGGAGGCTAAACGGAGGCGAAAAAAACTTACTACGAAGAACACCGCTATCAAGATGAGTAATGGTAAAGAACATTCCTGCGAAAAAACCAAGAAAAAAAGAAAAAGCACCGATAAAGAAAGACAGACTGACAGGACTACGAATATGTTGCTGGTGGTGCTCATGCTGTTTCTCTTCACAGAAATGCCGCAAGGCATTTTGGGACTGCTCAGCGTTACGCTGGGCACGGGATTCTTCAATACATGCTATGTCAAGTTAGGTAAGGTTGACACGTATCAATTTTAACCGCGAGTATAATAACTTATAAATTGCAATTTCAAGAGAAAAGTCCTAATTAGATCTTTTTATATATAAAGATTTTCATTTTATTGAGGGACTCAACATTTAAAAAATTTTATTTAAGTATATCATTATTAAGTATATAATTGTTATTTATATAT